CATCTGTAGTTTTGTTTCCACTTTGCACACCAAAAGAGAATGCATGTTCCATGGCTCGTTGGTCTAGGGGTATGATTCTTGCTTCGAGTGAGAGAGGTCCTGGGTTCAAATCCCAGACGAGCCCAGTTTTAGTTATGGTTCAACCCTTGTTGCATCTGTAGTTTTGTTTCCACATTGCACACCAAAAGAAGTCGCATGTCCCATGGCTCGTTGGTCTAGGGGTATGATTCTTGCTTTGGGTGTAAGAGGTCCCGGGTTCAAATCCTGGACGAGCCCAGCTTTAATTATGGTTCAACCCTTGTTGCATCTGTAGTTTTGTTTCCACATTGCACACCAAAAGAAAACGCATGTCCCATGGCTCGTTGGTCTAGGGGTATGATTCTTGCTTAGGGTGAGAGAGGTCCACGGTTCAAATCGCAGACGACTCCAGCTTTCATTATGGTTCAACACCTAAATTTTCCAACCTTGTTGCATCTGTGGTTTTCTTTCCACTTTGCACACCAAATAAAACCAACATTCCATAGCTCATTGGTCTAGGGGTATGAATCTCGCTTTGGGTGTGAGAGGTCCCGGGTTCAAATCCTGGACGAGCCCAGCTTTCATTATGGTTCAAAACCTATATTTTCCATGTGTTTTTCATCAGTAGTTTTGTTTCCACATTGCACACCAAAAGAAAACCCATGTTCCATGGCTCGTTGGTCTAGGGGTATGATTATCACTTTGGGTGTGAGAGGTCCCGGGTTCAAATCCTTGTTGAGCCCAGCTTTAATTATGGTTCAACAACTAAATTTTCCAACCTTGTTGCATCTGTAGTTTTGTTTCCACTTTAGCACATCAAATAAAACCCATACACCATGGCTCGTTGGTCTAGGCGTATGATTCTTGCTTAGGGTGCGAGAGGTCCTGGGTTCAAATCCTAGACGAGCCCAGCTTTCATTATGTTTCAACAACTAAATTTTCCAACCTTGTTGCATCAGTAGTTTTGTTTCCACATTGCACACCAAAAGAAATTCCATGTTCCATGGCTCGTTGGTCTAGGGGTATGATTCTTGCTTTGGGTGCGAGAGGTCCCGGGTTCATATCCCGGACAAGCCCAGGTTTCATTATGGTTCAACAACAAAATTTTCCAACCTTGTTGCATCCGTAGTTTTGTTTCCACATTGCACACCAAAAGAAAACCCATGTTCCATGGCTCGTTGGTCTAGGGGGATGATTTTCGCTTATGATGCGAGAGGTCCTGGGTTC